ATATATATATATATATAATTTGTTTTTGTTTTTTTTTAAATTTCAAAATTTGAAAAATGTAACATAAATTAAAACTAGTAAGTTATAGCTAGAAAATGGAGAATATGACAATATCTAACAAAAGTGTCATAGCCTGTAGGGTACGTAAGTGATAAACCTTCTCAAAATTAAGAAAGCAACCGAAGTTTGTAAAAGGATCAAATGCTCTACTATTATATATATAAATATAATATAAAGGACTATTTGAAAGAATCTCATTTGGCTAATTCGCTATCGTGGTAAAAAAAGAACTCTTTCTCTTATTAAGAATTAGGAAATGCGGAACTTTTTTTCTTTTTTAAAACGTCTTTGTATCATATGAAAAAAGGGGATGACTCTGAGTCTAAACTCAAAGATAAGAGATAATTTTGATTACGTTTGTTTTTTTTTTTTTTCTTTTTTATTATTATATGTTTGGGTAAGTTTCATTTAATAATTTTATTTTTTATTTTTATATAATAGATTTATATTTTATTTTACGTTTATGAATTATTACTTTATTTATTATTTTATGTATTATTTTGCAGAATTAGAAAAAAATAACTAAAGATTTCAATCCTCCTAAAAATGTATAATATTGATTGAAAATTTGAATATGAAAATGAATATTTTAATTAATAAAAATAAAAATTTAATGTTTTTTTGTAATAGATGTTTAAACAAGTTTCTCTCTATTAAATAATCTTAATATTAAAACTACATTAATACTTGTCATTTATCGTAATTTGACTCTCAAAAGTATTTTTTTTTTAAAAGATTAAACAAACACAATTTGTTTATAAAAAGTACTTTTCAAATGAATTAGCCAAACACAAATATATATTTTTTCAAAAATATTTAAATACTTCTGAAATAAGTAATTTTTAGCAGAAGTGTCAAACAAACTCTAATATTAAAACAGTAGATCACAAGAGGCACGCTAGCTTTAAAGCATTTTTGTGAATTTTTTTAACGTGAGATACATGATGGTATGTCTTCGCTGGATACATAATTTATAATGTTTCAGTATTGTCTATATATATTATTGTTCTATAAAAATATAAAATATTAAATAAAGAAAATTAGAATTACATAATATATATATATATTATAATAAAAGAAGGGTTGGAAAGAGAATTAAATGTGATGGATCTTCTATATGTTTCCGTCTAATTAAAAAATATATGCAATAATTAGTAACTACTCCATATGACAATAATAATAGAGCAGAAAATTTTAAAAGTATATTAGTAAGATGAATTTGGAGTAGCGAGAAGAGAAGGGTAGCAAAAATCACTGATATTTCATCAATATTTTTTTCGTATTATTTCATTTGTACTTCTATATTTTGTCGGAGGAAATTTTCGGCAAATCTTGTATTTCTCTTGATGTTGCACTATACATGCATTACTTTTAAGTTTCAAGTATGAGATGTATTTTTTATGTTTATATCCTTGTTTGACTATCTTCTTATGGGTGTGTCTTTGTTTGATAATATTTTTGTAGTTATGTACCAGGTATATACTCCTCTATTTTTGTGTTCTTTTCGCGAATGAACATACGCTAACGAACATAGCATACACAAATTGTATTTATTGCGTGAATAAATTGTATTCATTGTGTAAACAAATAAAGTGAATATAGACGCCAAACTTTTAATGTACTAATATTTTCCACAAATGGTAATAAAATAAAATGTAGTTACGAGTACTAATTAAGCAACACACATTCATAAAAGTTTCTCTCTATTAAATAATCTTAATATTAAAACTACATTAATACTTGTCATTTATCGTAATTTGACTCTCAAAAGTATTTTTTTTTAAAGTATTAAACAAACACAATTTGTTTATAAAAAGTACTTTTCAAATGAATTAGCCAAACACAAATATATTTTTTTTCAAAAATATTTAAATACTTCTGAAATAAGTAATTTTTAGCAGAAGTGTTAAACAAACTCTAATATTAAAACAGTAGATCACAAGAGGCACGCTAGCTTTAAAGCATTTTTGTGAATTTTTTTAACGTGAGATACATGATGGTATGTCTTCGCTGGATACATAATTTATAATGTTTCAGTATTGTCTATATATATTATTGTTCTATAAAAATATAAAATATTAAATAAAGAAAATTAGAATTACATAATATATATATATATTATAATAAAAGAAGGGTTGGAAAGAGAATTAAATGTGATGGATCTTCTATATGTTTCCGTCTAATTAAAAAATATATGCAATAATTAGTAACTACTCCATATGACAATAATAATAGAGCAGAAAATTTTAAAAGTATATTAGTAAGATGAATTTGGAGTAGCGAGAAGAGAAGGGTAGCAAAAATCACTGATATTTCATCAATATTTTTTTCGTATTATTTCATTTGTACTTCTATATTTTGTCGGAGGAAATTTTCGGCAAATCTTGTATTTCTCTTGATGTTGCACTATACATGCATTACTTTTAAGTTTCAAGTATGAGATGTATTTTTTATGTTTATATCCTTGTTTGACTATCTTCTTATGGGTGTGTCTTTGTTTGATAATATTTTTGTAGTTATGTACCAGGTATATACTCCTCTATTTTTGTGTTCTTTTCGCGAATGAACATACGCTAACGAACATAGTTGACACAAATTTTGTTTATTGTGTGAATAAATTGTATTCATTATGTGAACAAATAAAGTGAATATAGACACCTCATAATATAAGGTACTAAGATTTTCCACAAATGGTAATAAAATAAAGTGTAGTTACGAGCACTAATTAAGCAACACACATTCATGAAAATTTCTCTTTATTCATACATATTTTATATTTCTTTCACGTTCAAGCTTGATTTTTGTACGAGTCAAACATGTGAGATCTCAACTCCAGACCTACTCTTACATCTATATATATCTATATTATATTTAGCACATAAATATTATTAGAAATGTTGATTAAGTTTTTTTGGTTTTCATTAAAAGATTTTACAATAAATAAAATTGTATTTTTTTCCATTCTTCTCAAATAATTATTATTTTATTATTTAGGATTTTAATTAACTATAATTCTAATTTAGTCTAGATAAGAAACAGCATTATTTAATACTTCTAAATCAATTAGAATTTTAGCTTATATAAAAATTATTATGTTTTAATAGATTTGAATTGGAATTTCATAAAATAGATGCACATGCTATTATTAACGTCCAAAAGGACGTGCTACTTTAGGCAATGCAATTTTTCGTAGGAGTATTTAATTATGTTGATGTGACATTTTTTTTAATCATCGATAGCGTTAATAGTTTTTGTAAATTATCAAATTGTAATCGATTTTACAAATTTTTAAATGTTAGGAATTTTAATATAATTCATATATGAAAATATCTAAGAAGTAAAATTTTAAAATACTAAATATTAAAAATTCTTTTATTTTACAAATAAGTAAAAACAAATAATAGCTATAATTTTAATTAATTTTAAAATTCTAATATTTGAATAATAATCAAATCACAATTTTTTCTTAAAAAAATAATATATGACATTTTTTTGGATTTCGAAATTAATTATATTTATATTATTACTGTTTCAAAAAGAATGACCTAGCTTCCTTTTTAGTCTTTTACAAAAAGAATGACTCATTTTGTTTTTTGGCAACACTTTAACTTCAATTTTTCACATGACATGTTTTAGGCCACAAGATTAAAGGACATCTTGGTACATTTGACATAACTTTAATTTAAAATCACAAGATTAAAATGTCTTCTTTCTTTACTTAAACTCCTTTCCAAGTCAAATTAGGTCATTTTTTTAAACGAAATGAGTACATATTTACTTATTTATAAAAAATAAGAAAATTTATTCAAATGTGCCACATAAATTAAAATCGAGAAAATAGTGTGGTGTGAATAGGGAATACAAATAATCATTTTTCTAATAAATAATGATAACGGATATGAACAATGACAAATATCGTCAACAACATAGAAGTCTTGTCTTTTAGTTATGAAAAAAAAAAACATAAGAAGTCTAATTAGATTGGGAGTAGGACTTATAAGTCAATGCTCATAATATTACATTGTCGATTCTTCTAGAAACTTAATTCAACGTTGAATAATGTTACCACGTTGTAAAATTACCAATTAAAATTCCTAAACAAGATAGACTTCATTTTAAACAAATTTACCAAAATGGAAATCAATTAATCATAGAGAGTAAATCAAATATGGTAAAAAAAAAAAGCATTAATCACGTAACTTGCCATGTAAACCACGTTTTACCGAAAATTATGCACACACTTGTTTATTTGTTGAGCAAATGAGATCTTTGCCTCTAAAATAATAGTAATACTGCTAGATTCTGGCAGCGGAAGTTTTGCACCGGCACGGCCTAAAAGGGATATGAACAATGACAAATATTGTCAACCACAATCAAAATGTTTCTTCTTCTTCTTCTCTCAACACAACAACTACTATTACAAGGGTTGCTTCTCGGGGCTGTGGCGGTGGAAGCGGTGGAAATGGATCGCAAGCTTGTGCGGCGTGCAAATATCAAAGGAGAAGGTGCGCGCCAGACTGTTTGTTAGCCCCTTATTTTCCTGTCGAACGAAACAAGGAATTTTTGAATGCTCATAAGCTTTTCGGTGTTAATAACCTATTGAAGTTACTAAGAAACGTTGAACCGTTTCAAAGAGACAACGCGATGAAAGCGTTAATATTTGAGGCTAATATTCGTGCTGGTGATCCTGTTGGAGGATGTTACAGAATAATTATGAATTTGCAACGGCTAATCAATCTTTATGAGACGGAATTGCAATTTACTTACAATGAGATTTTCCGGGTCCAAGCGGTCGATATACAAAATAATATCAATACGAAGACTAATTCTGTTCAACTAAATAATAGTATTGGCCGAGGATTCAACCGATCGTGTATTGGTGATTCATCAAAAGGAATTAATAGTATTGGCGGATCTGGTGAGTCATCAAAAAGAGTTAATACTATTGATGGATTTGGTGAATCAACGAAAGGAATTAATAGTATTAGCGGATTTGGTGAATCATCGAAAGAAATTATTAGTATTGGAATTAATAGTATTGACGGATCCAATCGAAGTGAGTCATTAAATAGTCGAATAATTAAAGTAGAGCTACTGGACGATTTCAATGACGAATTTGAAATGAAAGCAGATGAATTTGAAACTAAAGTAGCAATTTCAAGTTCGAAAGGCAAACAATCTGTGGTTGAAAATGGGGATTTCAAGCCATATTTTGGAAATAATTGTAAAGGCAAAGGAGTAGCAAGGTATGTTAATTAATTATGTTTTCTTTATAGATTATTTTTAGTTTTATTCTTTATTTTTGAAACGCATTAACTATAGAATAATTAGGATTTCCCATCTTAAATAAGTTGTAACCATTCTCAAATGGTTTAGGTATCCAAACTATTTCTAATAGAAACATGCATAATTATATTTGCTCTTATATTCTTAGGAAAAAAAATCAATACAAAGTTGAAACATGCATGATTATATTTGCTCTTATACAAAGTTGAAAGGCGTGATCCAATTAAAGTATTTTCATTTTAATATAAGAACATAAAAGCATCATATTTTCTCTTATACTCTTGGAAAAGTATTATATTTGCCTCTCTTCATACTTTTTTTTATATATATTTACCCGTACGAGGAGCTATTAGGAGTGGAGTGAGAATATTATCGTACTTAATTTTGCAGTTGAAAGAGTTTTGTTGGACCAACCAGAAGCATATAGGGGAATGATGTATGAATGGAGCTAAGGGATTGTCAATGATACCTTGTAGAAGAGGACAACTAATATCTTCTATAATGCTGCTAAGAGCATTCTCTAATGTTTGTGCTGCTCATCATAAATTTATTTTAATTCAAACATAGTATAATAAAACCATACAGTGGCACGATGCTAAATCCATAATAAAACCCTTGTTTTTTCCTTATAAATAACAATTGTTTTTTTTCTCAAGGGAAAGTAACAATAAAGAGTATTAGGGGTGGATTTTATGGGTTAAATGGGTGGGTATAATAATTAAATTAGGAGAAAATTTTAAGTAGAATATATATATCCATGTAGGTGTGATACATAGAATAAGTATTCTACCAAAACAAAAATAGAATGATATAAGTGGGAACATAAGTTGAATAACAGAGACAGGCATATCAAAGAAGTGTGACTAACGATAAATATAATCGTGCGGCGTTTGGATCCATGAAGGCAATCGCTCGGCTGTTTCCCTAACTTAACGTTTTATAAGAGTACAAGGATAAATATGACTCTTTTTCGACTTTAGAATAAAAGTTGTTGTCTACTTTTGGACCCCATCTGTTTAACTAAAAAAGAAGGATTATTTATCAGACACTTTTGTGACATGTATTTAAAATTTATCAATAACTTTAAAATGTTGTAAATCTAGCTACACAAAAAAAAAATTACATGTCTCAAGTTTGTACAAACACTGGACTGAAACGCTTGTTTAAACTTTGAAGTTCAACTACAAGAATTAGAATGGTTTCCCATCCTAAATTAATCTCAATTTGAACTTTGTCTTTGTTATATTTTAGCAGGTTGTTAGTGCATTATAGAGTTTAATGGAAATTTAGGATATGATACTGCATCTCTTTACCAAACATTTAGTTACTTTGTTACAGGAGAAAAATATACTTATCTAATTCGTTTTAGTAAATGTGTTATTGACAATTGTAATGAATTTTTTACTTTGCACTGATGGAATTTGTTTATATTTTGGCCTTTTGCAGCGATGATGACAAGGTTGTATCAAATACAAGAGTTAATTGAGCCTAGACGCTGTTTCTATCTTCACAAACACCTTGTATAACCTATCTTCTTGGTTATTATACTCTTATGCAGGTAGACAAAGGATTATTTTTCCTACAAGGATTTTGTGTTCGATGTGATCATGAGAGATTTTGTTCAAGACTTGCTTCTATATTTTTTTTATTTGCAAACTTTACAACTTTCCTTTCTTTATCCGGTTAAATAATTTAGTTGTACGCGCAAGAATTTTGGACTTGGAAATTACAAAAGAGACAAGTGCATAAAGTACCACTAGCTATTACTTTCTCCTACATGTCCCATCCTACATAGCTTTCGGGAGGAGAATCAAGTGGCCGACGCATTAGCTAAAGAGGGGGCTAAAATGGAGGAAGACAATTTTTGCTGATATTTTGAAGTTCCGTCATTGTTCGTTTCAAAGATAGTCAAAGCAGACAAAGTAGGAATTTTTTTTAAGGCTTACAAGCATATCACCTACTTCGGAACATTTTAATAGTACTATTTCTTGTCTACCCCCGAATTACTGGCCGCAGTGTCACTACCTTGTAATAATGCATATTATCCTTGCTTATAAAATAAAATAAAAAAGTTGGTTAAGTATTCATAAGTAGTTATGTTAGGAACAACATCACTAATTAATAACTTGGGTTTATCATCATCATTCTGACATTCTAGGTAATTGGATTTCTACTTTCTTTGTTGATGAACATATAGTCGAATTTTATATATGTTCATCTTCGATATTAGTTTGATAAATTAAGTCTTCTTTCAATGATAATCTAATCAAAGATATACCAATTACAAAATATATCAATCTAACAATTTTCCTAATTGATATGCATTGTGATGGTGTGATAATATGATAGTTCTCGATTCTTTCGATTCAGGCCATTCGTATGAAAGTTTTACCTATGACTACATGTTGAAAGTTCTCAATAATATTCATCTTCGATCTTGACCTCAACTTCAGTCCATTTGATACATTTCACCGTGTAGCATCGTCACTAAATTTATAGGGGTTGATAGTGTTAAAGAATGACAAAAGTCTCACATCGATGGTTAATGAGATGGGTGGACTCCTTATAAGGCTTGGGCAATCCTCCTCCCTTTGAGCTAGCTTTTGGGGTGTGAGTTAGGCCTAAGACCTAATTTAACATGGTGACCTAATTTAACATGGTATTAGAGCAGGGCCCATCTCACCCGATGTTGGGGCCCCCAAAATCAAAATTGCCCACGCACCAGATGCTAAGCACTGGGCGTGAGGTGGGGTGTTAAAGAATGACAAAAGTCTCACATCGGTGGTTAATGAGATGGGTGGACTCCTTATAAGGCTTGGGCAATCCTCCTCCCTTTGAGCTAGCTTTTGGGTGTGAGTTGTTTAAAGAATCTTACTGATTCCAACAAACTTTGCAGAAACACGAAGTTACCAAAGTTTAATGAACCAGTGAAGAACAGAAGAACATAAATTAATTCACAAATTTAAAATAAGTAACACATACCAGAATATGGAAAAACAGAAAGAAGATCAAGCCCACTGAATGCACAGTGTCCCCTTAAGGAAATTATTCCCCTCTAGTATCCGAGGTTTGATTTGGAATATGTCCTCCCAGGATAGAATGATCTCAATCACCAATGTATTGATACCCAAAACGCTGGTGTCAACGAGCCACTCAACGGCAGTAAAGTACACTTAGAATACTAGATTTAGTAGTAGAAGAAGAAGTCCAAAAAATTAGTTCTTTTAAAATGAGAGGAAATCCCTCAATTTATAGAAAACAGAGGGTAGTGTGAAAAGGTTCTTATTGTGCCTTACCGGAAAGGTCACAAACCTTTGAAAAGTCACAATCTTTCGGAAAGGTCACCACCTTTCATAAAAGTCACAACTTTTCACAAAAGTCGCAACTTTTGATAAAAGTCACAACTCTTCATAATAGTCGCAACTTTTCATCAAAGTCACAACTCTTCATAAAAGTCGCAACTCTTCATTTTCCATTCACACCTTTTAAAACCCAACAAT